ATAGACTAAGGCTCAACTCGTTCTCACTTGAAACGAGGAAGGATGTCTCGTGAATCGTGTCAACCTGTACGTCGTATTAAAGCCAAAAGTCTGCAGTACAGTGGAAATCAGCCGTTATCTTCTGTTGAGACCGACATTCGTATCTCTTTATCATGCACTTTCATACGAAATAAAAGTCTTCTACAATATTATTTTAGGAGAGTCATCAAAACCAAGCTACTCTTCGTATATATATTCTTATAACTTGCTTTGCTTCAAATTGTTTTCAATCGCTTCTACCGGTCTTAGTAGTAATAGTAGTAAATCCATTTTCAAATTTTTTCTGATGCTTCTGAACGTGTTTTAGAAAATAATATTTTGACAAGATGGCGTTTGTGTCGTTTGCATTTTTATTCCTTCAAACGCCATCTCTTTCTCCTGTAAGCATTTGCCAGTGGTGGTTTGCTTGGATTACTTTTAAATATTGCTTTCAATTAACTTGACTATCCAAATAATTCTCCTAAAACTATCCTGTTTTATTCCCTCCCTTGTCGAAGGGCGACCGAATTTAGTATCAAAGCCAGCACCTCATCACATCGAATCCCAATTTCTGAAAACTCTGGCACAAATTCAGCAACTCAAATGTCTGGTTCCCGCCTTTCCACCAAGACGAACAGGAATAAACATGTTCGTAAGACGATTCAAGCTAATCCCGATCATTCGGGTTTACTGTCGGCTGAACAACCAGAAAACTCAAATGCAAGTCCTCAGGAGGCGAAACTCATAGGCTCAGATGATAGCAGTGCTTCTGGCACGGTGATCTTCCGTCGAGTAACTCCAGACTTTTCTCATATGAAGCCCGGTCAGTCCAAAAGTGACAATCCGATGGCTGGAGTTCCTGTTGATCAAGATCATGCTTCTTCTGCTAACGGTCTAGCAGTTGGAACACTAGCTGACCATGAAGTCGGTGGATCAATACTAAATTCCAGAACATTCTCCCAAACTTCAGGCATGATTATTTGGTCTGGGTGTTTAATTAAAGTTACTTATCAGCCCTGCCAAAATGTGGCTGATGGGATTCTAAAAAACATATTCTGTGGCTGGCAATAATTGTGCCCAAAATCCATAAGCAGTTATAAAAGTTATTTCGAATGGCCTTAAAATGATTTTCTGACTGTACGTCCTCTTTAGATGTTGAGTCGGCCATGGAAAAGCTGCTTAGCTTTAGCTTTCATTTTCAATATGTCTTTTGAACTGGGCTCTTAATTATGCTTCCGAACCAATTTAATAAAATGTAGTCTCTATAGCCTACTTATAAACGAAAAATAATTAACGTTTATTTGAAGGTATGAATACCAAGATGGTGTGGCCTTTTGTGTGGTCGCAGTCTCCTTTCGTTGTATATAAGTTGTCTGACCTTGTTTTCGCAACTTGGTCATATTGGTAGGAAGACTTAGAGGAACGTACCAGGTCCGGAGTCCATTGTATGCATCATCATTTCCAGATTTGGACCGTGGACGTGGTACATTTCCAGAAGTTTCGCCGGCATCGTCAGTGAGTCTCGCCATTCGTAGCACCATATTACAACTCGTCAAAGACTCATTGACGATCTCGCCGAAACGTCTGGGAGTGTACTACGTCCACGGTCCTACTCTAGAAATGATGATTCATACACTGGAATCCGGACTAGCTGCGTTCCTCTAAGTCCTCCTACCAATATGACCAAATTGCGAAAACAAGGTCAAATAACTTCTAATAAGTAACGTAGTCGATTTCTATAGCAATCCCACCAAAAAACATGGTATGAGAAAAATGTCTGCCTTTTATTTAAATTCACATCTGCCATTTGATCCAGGGGCATTCGTTGCATTGTGGCGTAGTGGTCAACGTGTCGAGATTATACACTACGGTGTTACGTTTCGAGTACCGCTAAGGGTGTTCATGAGACTTAGACGAGGTTGAAACTGCAGTTTACCTTATATGAGAATAACTTTTGGGAAAGCTATGGAAGGCTATGCGCAATTTAATGGAAACGTGATGTCTACTTATATCATTGTGAGAGAATTCATCTATCAGTCCCCTTGTAAACTAACAACTAATAAAATGTTCTCCTCATAAAGAAAATATTAAATTACTTTCATTGTCCATTGTCTTTATTTGAGGCATATTACAATATAATATACTACTAAAGCACTAGTATAGTCAATAACTTGCAAGCTTATGGCCTAAATTATTTACTTGCTGTATTTTTGCTACCACCAATTATTATATTAACAATCCTCAATCATTTAAGGCAAGTATTATTTTGAATTTTACACTTATAATTTTGTCTGTTACAACTTAAAAGCATTAGTTGGTGTTATTTCACGCTACAATTCATTTTGTTAGTTCGATTAATAATATACAGTAAATTTGCACATTACATGGAAGTGATTTTTAATTTAGCAATTAACTTTTTGAATCGTTTCTTTAATTCCTGCATGCTTGTTTTAGGGGTAGTTTATTTTATAGCCGCCAGCTGCTATAGTGATTAATTTCTACATAATCACTATTGCCAGAATTTCCACTCTTATTCCTGTCTTTCTATTTGTCCGTTTCTTCCTGCTACCGGATCTTTTATCTTTCTCTTCTGTTCTTATACCTTTTACGTAACACACTTTAATAAGAATTTAGTTACCATAGGTCACTTAGCTTTGCCTTATTTCATTGTAGGAAAATTCAGATATCACTCCTCAAATCACTTTAGACAACCTAGGTTAGCCAAGTCATTATCCATGAATTATTGATAGTTTTGAAATCCGCCTACTTGAATATTAAGTAGCATTGTAGATTGTAATTTCAAAGACATGTTTGCTTACTCGCTAATCCCTTCATAAAATATGATTTGATTAATGCCTGGCTTGCCTTGAATTTCGCATCCGCTTTTTGACCCGCTGGCTTCCGTGCCTGTCTACTCGAGTCTTAATGTCGTCTTTTGAAGGGTAAGGCTTTTTAAAATTCAGTGGCATCTTGAGAATTTGTAGCAATATGGGCCTTATTACTTTGTTATATCATTTCTCTGACGTGCTAATTACCTGGCCATATTTTATAAACTAGTTTTCACTGGTTGGGCCGTGCTTATATATAACCCACTCGACTTTGTGATAAAAAATTAGTCTTAATTTATTGTATCTTCTTTCAAACTATTTTTTGTATTCTACTTGCTGATTTACGTCGCCTTTTAACAAGTAGAAATTTATTTTATAATACTTTTGGCATGTGCTTTTTATATAGCCAATACTATACTTAACGTAGATATTTTCTCAAAATGTTTGCAAAATATTGTGCGAGTTGCTATTAAATGTCATCTTAGAAGAAGCTCCTCTTGATTCTCTTAGATTCAGATTTATATGATCGCGTTCATTATAAAAGCTATAGTCCTCCATTGTCCCATTGTTTTGCTTATACTCCCAGGTCTTTATAATAAGAAAAGCTGTTTGAAATTCTATAATGACTGTATTTATGATTTTCTACAATTTCGTACAACTCTTCTATCGTTCAGAAATCGGAATGCCATCCCCCCCTCCCCCTCCGATTCCTGAAAATATGCTCTCCTCTGCCGGCCCTATCCGAACAGAGCCTGCCA